CAGTCTAGGGTTGATCGGCTTCACACCCCTGTCGTAGCATGATATATACAAGATTTCTACATATCAGAAAAATACAAGTATACCAATATGAGAGAAGAAGATATCTCTACATTTATCTAAAGTCTTGTCTTTGAAAAAGTTGTGTTCCGGACTTGTCTGAGTTATGACCGTGATTCTGTTCTGTTCGCTTGTAACTTTGGTGTGCTTACGTAGATAGCGCACCTGTTTCTACTAGGTCGGATCGGGCCAAAGTGTGGCGCTCAGTTCTCGAAGCATCCATCTGATCACGTGCTGATCTATTTCTGGCATTGGAGTGAAGTCCTTTGTCTTCTGGGCGGCGTGATAGGGAGGGTGGGTGTCTGTCGTGATGAGCTTCGAAGACCTTGAAGAGGCACGAGCCGAGCGTGCTGAGAAGGAGAAAGAGAAGGAGAAGGCGTCAGCTGCCAAGGGTTCCAAAAAACGGGGGCGTAAGCCTAAGAGTTTTGCTGAAGTACCGGTAGAAGAGATGACAGAAGGAGCAGGTACGAATCTGCAAAGAGAAGACGAAGAGGCTAACGCTACAGTGCGAGCTAACAGCATGCTTAGGCTACGTCAGCCAGAGACAGAATCGTTATGGAGGGCACCTATGTATTGCAAAAATGTGTTGATTCATTAACTAGTAGTTATGTAACTAACTATAGTGGTTGGCGAATGCAGCTTCACCCTGTCACGCGGCCGCAACTCTATCTCATACAGCTAGAAACTAAAGCCCCATGTTCTATTTCTAAGTTCGCCTACAGAAGCACCACCATCTAGCCATAACCGTACCCACCAAGACGAACTCTCAAGTATGTACCACCGCCTTACGCCTCACTTCCGCACGCCATACACAGCTGTTGTTTGCACTTCGCGCACCAATACCGTCCACAGCCTATGCAAAATTGCCATCCGACCTCTGCGCAACCTATGCGTCGGCATCCTGCGCATGACACTTGCGAAGCCTTTAAATTTACCCCTCCTACACGCATCAGCCCTATTCACAACCCGTCACTTCTATAACTATAATTACAGCTAATCCCTAGCCACTTTGAACATTATAGCTAGGCACTCACCACCTTCGGCGCATTCTCCACTCGGAGTTCCGCCGCCCCGCCCCTCAACTAAGGGCGTTTGAGTCTTCCCTGCCTGCTTTGCGGCGCCACCTCGCCGAACAAGGCAACTCCTCCCGTTCCACTTCTGTGGCTTCGGCCACGACCGTCTCACTAGTCACGAAAACTGCGTCTCCGCCATCTATAAAAACCGCCGTCTCCGACAACGCTAACACGCACCCAGCTAAGAAAAAAAGAAGAGCGCTCAGCAAGCGCTCCTTGTAACTATATACACCTAGCTGCGCGCTAAGGTAGCTGACAGAAACTTCTAGAAAAACCAACGCCTTAGCGTAGAACATAGAACACCCTAATTGGAGCGCGGGGTACGGAGTACTAACTGTTACCTTCGGTAAATTCTGGGGAACTTACACAGCCACAGGACTCCGAAGCCACAAGCTTGGCCCGGAGAAAATTACGCCGTGAACCGTCTTATACTAGCCACATGCGGAAGCCGCTCGCTGTGGAAGTACCGACAGGGGTGGCGATCACGCACAAATATGAGCGTCACGCCGCATCAAGAGCTAGAATCGACTCCTCAGCATGGCTGAACGTTTTCTCAGTGTATATAGATTTATTTGTTAGTATAGGGAGTGCAATAGAGCTTGATCAAGGCTATCTGTAGTGGTGTTATTGCTTGTCTCTAGAAAAGTTGTCTTTTGCGCATCAGCGCGGATGCAACAACAACAGCGTAATTTTTGTAACCAGAGGTGTCTGCACCTATAGAAGAAGGCAAGAAACATGATTCGTCTATGAACATACAACAAAAACAACGCGTGGATAGAAATGTCGTTTTCTGGAGATGAAGTACCCCTCTTTTCTTGCGGCACGGGGGGATTTGCGTTACATAGGGAGGGACA